GGCGTTTTTTTTTTACTTGCCCTGCCGGCTTCACTCATGTCCAATGCACCCGATCCGTAACGGGTCGTAAAAGGGGTGACGGTTCGCGACGGATCGTGACGGTTCGCCGGGTCGTTACGACCCGTAACGAATCGTCACCGACTGTCTCGACCGTCACACCGGAAGTCATTTCGCGAAAAGGGATAGCGGAAATAAGCAGGGGAATGAAGTGTGTGAATATTCCTCGTTCTTAAAAAAAGCGGCCACAAACATTCGCACAAGTGTAAAGAACGACGCGCGCTAATGATGAGTCTCTCGCGAACTGATAAACGGTCTCACTGCACAAACGGTGACGGGTCGTCGCGATCCGTCCCGATCGGGACGATCCGCCGACATTTTCACCTCCCTCCATAATACCGCCATAAAAATTATCTAAGTCCCTCGCGAACGGACAAACCGTCACGAATCGTCACCATCAATCACGGGTCGTCGCGATCCGTCCCGATCGGGACGATCCGCCGACATTTTCACCTCCCTCCATAATACCGCCATAAAAATTATCGAAGTCTCTCGCGAACGGACAAACCGTCACGAATCGTCACCATCAATCACGGGTCGTCGCGATCCGTCCCGATCGACAATTTCACCCCCCTTCATAGTACAAACATGATTTTATCTAAGTCCCTCGCGACCTGGCAAACGGTCAAGGGCTGTTACCATCCGTCCCGAACGTGATGATCCGCCGACATGTCGCAAACTGACAAACGGTGACGGGCCGTCACGACCCGTCACGGATCGTCACCAGTTTGGCGACCCGTTACGGATCGGGTGTATTGAACAACCCTCGCCGGCTTTTCTTCCTTCAGTCATTTCTTCTTTTTTCACCCAAAATAAGGCGATAGATCCGCCACTGCAGAGAAATCCCTGTTTTCTCAAATTTATCTAAACAACTAATCAAACACTTTCATAAATCTTATTTCCAGGAATGTTCAAACCACACATGACGAGTAAAAATGTGCAGCGATACTGGACAGTGAAATGTCTTTTTAAGAGATGTGTTATCCAAAATGTTTCTTTGTCTACAACCAAACGTTTAGCTGTTTTCTTTCTTCTTTTTTTTGCGTCGGACTTGCGTTTAGTACAACTAAGAGGACTGCAACTAGAGTAACCTGCTAAACCTGTTTCCTGGAGAACAAATTCCTTAGGAGAGTATATTTGTACTTGTAATCTTACTTGTTACGCGGGTTATTTATACTCTACGAGGTACAGTTGGAAAGTAAAACAATATTAACGTTGTATGAAAGCCAAAACATAACAGTGGTGTATAGATTTCGAAATCTTTTTTATTATTACTGTCATTTTTAAACTCAAACAGTGTATATACAAGGTTCAAGACTGACCTACGAGAAAGACAGCATCTTACTTTGCTTCTCATGGTTCCATACACGTTTCCAAAGTGACTTCATGTTTCGCACGAACAATGCTGACATTCTACAATTTAGTGATTGCGACTACACAAATCTTTAAAAAGAAAACAAAGTCAGTTAACTATATATTAGGTAACGAGTTACGCAATACAGCTGATCTGTTCAGCCCTAAGAGCACTTGTTGCAACTTTTTTGACAATTCTCTTTCATCCACACAGCATATTTGTTAACGCAATATCCACTCTTGACAAATTCACCACAATTGGCGTTTTTGTCATGGCAATCTGTTGGTAAAAACAAAAAAAAAATAATGGAAATTTGCCATAGAAATGGTCATAATTGTTGAGATGTGTTAGAGCAATTGTAAATTGGCCAAATATGTCGTTAATGAATTGATTAATTGTCAATGACAATCATTTAGAAATAATTATCAATTATTGGAAAAACGTAATGAAAACCTTAAGGGCGGGGTGATTAGAGCCTTGATTATAGCTGGTTTTCACATGACAACACTAAAATTCAAACAACAAAACTATTGATCATCCTGAGATTTTACTTTAATGATGTATAAGAGCAGCTGAAAACTAATATTCATACAAATTTTCGCTAGGAATGGGTTCTTGGTTTTGTGATACATTACGCTTGAATTTCTAAGCTTTTGCATGACGCGGCATTTACATGACGGTCTAGAGAGCTGTCATGATGGTTAAAAATGTGACTTATTTCGGGGAACTTGGCTATCTGAACAGTTCATGTCNTGCCCATACGGATGGGCACCAGCATGGCGTCTCCATACAAATCTCTGTAAATTTGGGTAAAAAATTTCTTTGCGTATCTCGCATAAGAAAAATTGCTGCGACCAGAATTTTGGCGAGAGTCTTTTCATATTTACCTTCTTTTATTTCCCAGATTCTGAACTTTATCTATTGACCGGTTTTGTTTTTTTTATTTTGATCTATTTCGAATTGCGTGACACTGAAAACCAGCAACATGCCTTGATATGCTATGAAGAAATGTTCAAGTCTATCACAAGAATTGTAGAGTTGGGTCACATAAATCATTTTACCACAGAAATGTCTAACTATAATGTCAGGTATAAACCCGGGGCGGGGATAAGGGAGGGGGGGGCAGGTTGTTGGGGAACTCCCATACAAAAAGAACCGGAGTGCTCGTCGGAAATTTTGAAAAGAACCCCTATAAAAAGGTACCAAGATCCTGCTTCAGGGTGTGGCTTGAAATGTTTTTCACCCCTAAGAGGTATCAATTCTAAAACAACACATTATCTCCTGCCATATGCTTTTTCTGCTCAGTAACCTAAAAGCTACCGCAAAAGCTCCCGCTTTGTGGACCTTTTGAGGCTGAGCACCTAAAGAAGTACTAAATAAAACCGCTTTTTTTTAACCTCTGAAAGGTACGACTAGCATGACCGTCCTTCTTATATGGGAGGCCCCTCTCCTTCCCGGGGGGATAAAGTACAAGAATTCCTAGTTTTTATTGACTTACCACACACAAGACAGCTTCGTGGACAGTTCACCTCCATCCACACAGGATTTTTCTTGCATTCGTCGTTCTGTGCCCATTGCTTACAGCTGGCAGTGTTGTACACATCTTGGCATGCTATCAATCAAAAATAATAAAGTAAATAAATAAATGAATGAATAAATGAAGGTTTTATTAGCAAATTCAAATAAAAACTGGCTCTTCCATGCTAATATGAAAGGCTAAGAGCTAAAATACAACTCCCTTACAATAAAAGACACTAGAAATAAAATTTAAAATTATACGTGCTAAAAAATTTAAAAAGAATGAAAAACCGAAAATTATTTCAAAAAAGCGTTTCTTCAGCTTTTCCTTTAAAATTATTTTAACCCGACGATTGAACTGGTGTATATTATCGCAAA